ATAAAGATGAGTGTCCTATGCTAGCATCTAAGCTACTCATGCCACATGTGGACATCTAAATACCCTCAGCCACTCTGTGAGGCCTGAAATGGATGGATTCAATCTATTTTGCTCTAATAGTGCCATGGTCTCTCCTCTAACAGAAGAGGGAATACAGCTTCAGCAAGATGTGCAGTATCTAGACAAGGAAAACGAATCCCCCACATCTGGCTAAATCTGGGACCAGATACTGATGTGCAGTTTTTTCAGCCAAAGTGGTGGGAACGCTCCCAAAACCTGTTTTTTACTGATTGTGTGGTCATTTGAACACAATGGTGAAGTACTAGACTTTAGCATTACAGTCACACTTCAGATGAAAGATGAATATATAAATACTTCATAAAGAACTAATGAACGATTAATAGTTAATTCAAGAAATGGATGATCAAATGTTATAGATTGATATACAGTCTGACAGGTCAATATGCTGCTCATAACTATGGCTTATTGCTACTCATAACATCTTCAGTGATTGCTACCAGCTTTAACAAAAGGTGTTTGTGCCTGGGCAACATCTATTAACCCTCTATCCACTCTTCTAGAAATAGAACCTTTCTACAAAATGTGCCAGCTTTAGTGGGTTATGTTACGAACATAAGGTTGTGCATTGTTGAGCAGCTCATTTGTAGCTCAAGAACTTGATTATAGATGAGAGAAGGTAGTAGAGACAGATGAATGCAGACTGCAAACAACACAAAACATCTGCTAACAGAACGGGCAAAGTTCTGAGTGCCAGAATTGCACATCCAGAAGCTCATTTGATGGGGCTCTTTAATCTGTGCTGGAGGGGGGGTCAGGAGGATCCTAGAAATTCCTTCAAGCTTTAGTCATAGGCTTAAATGCCTGTCCTACCATTTTAAAATTAGAGCTTAGGGAGCAGGTCAACTACGTACCCCAGATGGGTCATTACAAGACAAATTGCTCTTTCGTGATTTCAGCTTTGCTACCATACAATCAATTCTGCTTTTAAGTAATAAAAAACTCACTGGAAGCTGCCAGTTCTGATTACAGCATGAAGCATCTAACCTTGGTTTACAGCAATTGAAATTACGTTACTCTTGGCTTGAGATTTACTTGGCCTGAGGCTGTGCAGGGTGAAGGGGGAAAAAGACCCATCCTGGCACCTTCGGGAAGGTACAGATCTCTCACACGTGCTATCAGTGAGATGGAAAGGGAAGAGTGCTGAAGGTCCAACCCACAACTGGAGTCCTGAGACACAAAAGCCTGAGCACAGATGCTGTTCATTTGTCCTTGGAGCTGCAAGGATTGCTGGAGTGACAGCCGAGGCATTTCACACCCCAGTAAGCACATTCTCCCCAGGTAGTTCTGATCACCATTCATTTTGTTTGCTGACAAGTTTGTGGCAATATGTTCACTCCAGCTAAAAATTACACACTGGCTAAGAGACGAGGAGGCTTAATTTTCCTCTCTTTTACTCTGGTTTTGTAATCAGGGTAACTTCAATGACCCTTTACTTTTATACCAGAAATAGTACTGAGGAAATTGGATTTAACAGAGTAAAGAGCGTGTTCAGCGTGGATATGTAGGAAGGCACAGAGCAGTCAGAGATGTTTTCCCTCTCTTCCTGATCCCAACACAGGCCAAAGGCCAAATCTGCCCTTGGTACAAAACAGAACAACCCTCAGTTTGCTTTAAATGCCTTTGTTCTGTGAAGCCTGCTAAGGAGACTCACTGGACCCTTAGTTTCTACATCACTGCCCGCCTTCCCTTTAAAACACAAGTAGAGCTGCCACCTCAGCAATGTCTGAGATCACAGAATGATTGAGATTGAAAAAGATCACTAAGATCATCTAGTCCAACCTTCTACCTACCACCAGTAGTGCCCAATAACCACGTTCCTCTGTACCACATGCCCATGGTTATAGAACACCTCCAACGACCACATCCCTGGGCACTTGTGCCAATGCATCACCACTCTTTTGGAGAACAAGTTTTTCCTAATACCCAACCTGAACCTCCCCTGGCACAACCTGAGGCCATTCCCTCCTATTCTATTGCTGTTACCTGAGAGATGAGGTCAACCCCACCTCAATGGAGAGATGGTTAAGATGTCTGTCTGATTTCAAGTTTCTGTGCCAGTCCAGCCACAAAGAAATTCTTAGAGGACATCCATATCAATCTTTTAGGTCTTCTCTCCTTTCTCTTCCCACCTGCTTCGTGTTGGACACTTGATCAGTCTGGTACTGAGTGAAAACATTCAGATTTTCCTTCAAGGGTACTAACAGCAATATGAACATCTTGCCAACAGATGCAGCAAGCAAGAGGTTTTGATGGTAGAAACCAGAGTACATTCCATGGAGCCAGCACTAACACTGTGTCTGGGGCCTCAGAAGCAGCTTTCCCTCCTTTCACATCTCTCCTATGGAGGAACAGTACGAGGTGGGAGCTGGCTGCATTCCTGGAGGCATTTCAAATCATTTCCATCATGCAGGAGAAAATAATTCTTAGCAGATGAACAACCCCCAGGGCATGCACAGATAGAACATCCATCTCTCAGTATTTGCTCACGGTCCCCAGCATCAGTGGCCAAATTATTATTGCCATTTTTTCCCTCTTAATTTTATAACAAACTTCTCCTTTCTTATTTTGATATGAACATTTGGGTTTTGTGCCCTTCTTTCCCGTAAACATAGGTAGAAAAGGAAATCTTTTCACATGTCAGTAGCCCACAGGAGTTCTCCCCATCCCTGGAAGTGCTCCAGGGCCAGGTTGGATGAGGCCCAGGGCAGCCTCATCTAGTGAGAGACAACCAGCCCATAGCAGGGGGTAGGATCTGGGTGTTCTTTCAGGCCCCCTCCAACCTAAGCCATGATTTTCCACAGCAGGACAAACCCCAGGGCTGCAGGGCTGCTTGTGCAGCAATGCAAGGTCCCAAAAACAATGAAGGTCAAGTGCTTGCTTCTAATAAGTGGAACAAAAGGAAAGAATACACTGAGCCTCCAAGACAAGAACTGAAGGGAGAACAAAGGAAAGAGCACAAGCCTCCTCAGAGAGCAGCTACCCCATGGCAGTACTACCAAAACTACTCTGACACACTTCTCTAGCTCTTTCCTAAAAATCTCCTTGCACAATCAGTGCCAGCATTTTGTTACACAACTGTCCAGAAAGCTTTTGCAGGCATCTCACCCCCAGCAGTGGGCAGGCTTTAGCAAATAAGAAGTGAGGACTCAGCTGCTTGGGTATAAAATGGACCAAAATCTTAAATATCAGTGCATGATATGCTCTGTGCAGCAGGCCTGAAATGGCACAGGCAAGGACAGAGCATTTACTGTTTTCACAGAAAGGACTTAATCTTTAAGATGAATATTAGCTTCCAAAACAAGGGCTGTGTTTTATATAACAGCCTTCATTATCTTTTGCTGCTGACCTGAGCTACATTCATCACATGGGTTTGTGGACACAATCTGAGTGGTTCTGCTTGTTACTACCCTGCAGATATTAAACTCCTCTTCTGCCTGTGGTGCGGTAAGAAAGGCTTATTCCTCAGTGCTACTGCTCTGCTGAGGCTCTGGGAGTCACTGGGACACGCAGGAGGCAGAATCCAAGGACAGATGGAGTCAAAGAGAGTGCTTCCAGAAAACACAGGACAAGGAAAGATGCTGGAGGATCCCCCAGCTCCCACAGCTCCATGTCCTTTCCTCACAGCAGCAGCTGAGGCTGTGGCTGATGTTTACACAGCTGGAGAACACCAGAGCAGGGTGCCCTTTTGCTAGCCAGAAGCTGTCCTTTCTTTGTTACTTCCTATATTTCCTGTGCAGAAGTAGCATTAGAGGACAAAATTGTACTGTTTGAGATGCCACTTTTCTTGGTTTGCTAATTTTTGCCTGCCTCGGAACAGCAGAACTGCTTTGGCCTTTGGGGAAGCGTGCAGACGCTTTCACAAAACACTGCTACTTATAACTCAGAACTCTTGCTCAAGTTTCATTTCTTATTCCTGGCAAATATTGCTGCTTTGTCACAGTCTTGTCAGGCAGGACACTGCTGGCTCTTCAGCTAAATTTGCTGGAAAGACAGGGGAAAACAATTCTACTTCCTTTACTTTTCTTCCTGCTGTACCCCCAGCCAGCTCACTGCACACCAGTGACCACATCCCAGAATTTGGGGTCGCTGGATTCTGTAATGCAATGAGTTGTACCAAGATACATTTTTCCAGAGGCTTACTTTTAGTACAAACTCAGATGAGAGTTTCTTCTGCTAATATATGTTAGCAGCACCTTGCAAGAACCATAGAATCATTCGAGCTCAAAGGGACCTTTGAAGGCAATCTGGTCCAACTCCCTTGCACTGAACAGGGACACCTACAGCTGATCTGGTGCTCAGAGCCCCATCCAGCCTGACCTGGAGCACCTGCAGGGCTGGGGCATCCAGCACCTCTCTGGGCAACCTGTGCCAGTGCCTTACCATCCCCAACAGAGCAGTCCAACAAGCACACTCTGTACTGCCTTGCTTTTCTTTCTCCCATGAAAAGAAATGATAACAGCAGCACAACAGTTAGCTGACACAGTGCAAAGTCTTCTTGCAGAAGATCTTCATTGAGTTTTGTGCTAAGTTGCAAAACACGTAACCCTGTTATTTTGTCTGAGTACCAACGGTTGTTCCACTACCATGTGGAATCTTGGAAGTCATCAATATTTGTTGTGGTGTTAGCACACATTTGTTTTCACTAGTCTGTGGGAGGGTTTTTACAGTGGTTGTTTTTTCCCCTGTGAAATAAGTTCGGTCTGTTTAAATTCTGCGGCTTTCTATAAGGTAAAAAAAGTAGTAAAGTATTAAGGATATTACACTGAAAAACATGTTGCCATAAACATATTACAACACCACAGAAAGCTTGTAAGAACCACTGCAATAAAATAAATCATTTCTTCTGAAAAAAATAAACTTTCGTGTTCTGTGCCCACATCCTAGCTGGGTTATTTCATTTCTCCTGAAGATATCATCACTTTTTTTTTTAAAATGCGATTTACTTAAAAGACATCTGTGCCTTCTCACAAGCATTGGCTTCCTATTGTCAACTGAACACTGCAACCTAATCCTAACCCACATTCTCTCTGCTGTAAGAAAAGAAACATGGAGCTGCTGTTGTTTCAATTCCTAGATTCTTACTGGATGTCTAACGGCATCTTCTGTTCTGATTACTTGTTGCATCATTATGGTGTCTGAAACCCTCACAAATATTAACACACTTGTCAATCTCATGAGATGCAAAGTTCAGGGCTAGGAGGAACTAGCAGGGCCTATAGGCTATTCCCCTGCTGATGCAATGGTTACGTACAGCCCATTCCACAAACTCTATATCTATTTCCTCATCTGTAAAATACTGTTTATTGCATAAAATTTTCTCTATCAAAATCTGCATCAGAGCCACAGGATTCACTGAGACAACATGGATACTTCACCAGCAAGTTTTCCTCCCACTTAGAAATAGAGAACCAGCTTAAGTATATTCTTGGCACAAAACAAAGACAAAATAAAATTCTCTAATTGATAATTCAGTTATTTAAAGGAAAATAGAAACCAGTCCACTGTAAAAGCCATCATTTTTCTCCTGTTCCTCCTGCCACCCTCCTCCCTAGCCTGATCGCAGAGGAGTATCTGGGAAGCCTATGCTTTTTATTAGCAGAAGAGACAGGCTAAATTGAGATATGATTCATGCTTCTAATTTATGCCTTCTCTTCCTTTATCGTCAATGGATAGCGAGATGCCATTGCAAAAAGCTCACAGAGGGATTAACTTCTACAAAATGAGAACTGATGAAGGTGCGAGTGAGGCTGCTTCTGCAGTTCAGAGCGTTTTCATCTCCCCATGGGTCTGTTCATGACCTGCCAAAGCTGTTTCTCTCTGAGCTCAACATAACCTGCAAGAGTTGGAAATGGTTCCCTCTGCAAATAGAATTCTTTGAATAAGTCACCAGGAACAATATTCAGCACTATATCACATACACATCACAGGACACTCCTCACACCAGTGCCACAACGTTAACGCACCCCCAGACCAGGCCCAGTTACACTGATGGATCTGGTCTAATTACTCCTGTTATTTCTTTGTCTCTCTGGCTCCATCTATTGTCTCACTTCTCAGACCAGCTCTGTGGCCAGCTCTGGGATGTGCACTGCCCACCAGCTCTGCTTGATGCATGGCAGTAGGAGCTTTAAGCACTGGGGGGAAGTGAAGGGTAAATAAATTGACGGTAAAATACAACATTTAACCACTGTGATCCAGCACTGCATGATATGTTTCACCAGGAATGGCAGTATATTTGTTTTCCAGATCGTTAGCTGATGCAAAGGAAAACAAGAACATTTATTAGCCTCCCTCAGAACCACCTTTAACAAGAATGAATATTCACTGCTATAAATAACACTGCTTCAATTAAGTCTCCACATAAAAAAAAAAAAGCTCCATGTCTTCAGAGAAGGACACGCTATTTAAAAAGAAGTATCCAGATGAAAGTATTTAAGCCTGTCTGAGAACAAATGCAACTGCTTTACTTCCAGCGCTTCACTGAATGCCATTGTGTTTATATGTGATGGTCACAAGTAGAGATGCAGAGGAAACTTCAGACTCTCATTTTTCCTGCTTGTCAATGGAAATCTGGTAGCATCACTGCTTTCTTGTTTAGCCTCAAATCACCTGCTGTGTTGGCAATGGGTCATGCGTTTGCCCAAGTTTCACAAAGAGCAGTCACAGTACTGAAGTGCTCACTGCATCCTCAGTGAACGTGGCACTGGGCCCCATGGCATCCTGCTGCACTGACCTGTGCAATCATAGAAGATCATTCCTCCTTCATGAGGAGCCATCGCTCCCTGTACTGCCTTCAAAAATCTGTGGGGATCACCACTTTGGTGAATCGGGGCTTTTGCAACAACTCCAGCAGCCTGTAAGCTCATCACACCACTCCTGGGAAAGCTCAGAAAGTTCCAGGTCTTCTGATTACTGAGAGCTGGGAGAAAGTGTTGGGAAAACACCAGAATTTGCTGCTGTCTTTGCCTTGGGCTTCCAGTCTTTTCTCAGCTGTTTCCAGAGGCAGTCAGCTTTTTCATCCAGTACAGCTATTGCCATGTTCTGTAAGAGACATCGTTTACTGAACAGGAAAAAAAAAATCAAGAGAAATCAATGACTCTGAAGTCAAAAATTGGCCACAGGAAAACTAAGGACAAGCAACAATTTCATGCATGGCAACAAGCTGAACAACTTCTTCCAGCCAACCTTTCCTTTCCTCTTCATTCATAGGATGGATGTGCAAACACTGGTCTTCAATAGGCATCTACCCCGGGAGGACTGATCCTCCTCTCCTTCACATATGTAAAGTTACCTTATTTTAGTAATACTCATCCAATTAAGAATTCTAGAAGTGTTTATTAAATACCACTGGAAAACATTATGCCAGCAATTATAGGGAATCCATAAAGACATTTGCTGAAATCAATAATCTAAATTACTAACAAAAACATTGCCAGTATAAGCAGTTCATCTATACCACTTTGGGATAGGAAAATCAGACCCTGCATCTAAATACGGTATCAGTGACAACAGCACAGTTCCAGAAAGGATTTACCTGCTGCAAGACAGCCATAATGCACAGAAGTGGTAATTTAGTCTGAAATTACAAATTAAATTCAGCTCATTCAACTCAAACAATTTCAGGTAAAGCTGTATCAGAACAGGAAATGATGAAAGCTATGTCACCCCAAGCAGCAAATAAGATGAGGCATTGAGATGAACACCTACCATTAAGTCAAAGAGAATAATCTATGGGCATTCATGGCTCAGACATCTTGATTAGCATTAATTAAAATTCTGGTGATCAGGTGGCTATGGAACGAACGAAACTTTAAGAGAGCTTAGGCAAGAACGAAGGGCTGGAGATAGGGTAATAATTAGGAATAATATCTCTTGTTAAATTTAATTCCTTTAGCCTTGAAATTACCATGACAGATTTCAAATTTAGTGGCAGTTTTCCAGTCACTAAAAAGAGCTTAATTATAGAGTTTAAGACTTTGGGAGAACTGATTCAGATAAAGCTACACGAGGCCCATATCAAACATGTGGTATGCTTGAATGGACTCAGATTAAAAAAAAACAAACAAACAAAAAAACCACCAATTTGTATGACAATCTTAAGACTCCACATACCTGGTTTTTTGTTGGTTTTTTTTTTTTTTTTTTTTTTGAGACACCAAAAAAGTTTGGATAACTTTTTAACTTTGTCGTGCAATTAATAATAATCACTATCACTCAATTTGCCTTTCTACCTCTTGATTTCAGCTGGGACTAGGAGCAAGACAGAGATAAAGCAGCCTGAACTCTGAACAGTGCTGATACTAACAGAACTCCTTAATCATTGAACTGGCCTATCTCTAGAGCCCAGGCAAGATATCTAGAAAGCTGAGCAAAGTTAAAATCTGCGAGCTACTCCTCTGAGTTACAGAACACCCTGGAAAAACCATCACTGCATCTTATTAACTCCTGCTAGTTTATAAGAAAATAAGAGATACGTAGGAAAATGTCAGATCCCAGCTTTCTGTCCAATAGAGGAAATATTTATTCTGATAAACACTTCATGTCAAAGCTCTTCTAGGTTTTCAGGGCCAGGGAATGTCCTGAATGATCAATGGATCAGCAATATGATTAATAGCCTGAAACACAGATACAGAATGGTCTCTTCTTAGAGAACTAAACTCAAGATAATAGATGCTAATATTATTTCGAAACTGTCTTCATTGGATTCTGCCATATCTGTGTAATGCTCTTCTATAATCTCATTGTCGGGTTAACGGAACACTTCATAGTTTTAAAGGCATTTATTTTCCCAAGAGCCCCATGAAAGAGGAAAATACAGTTGTCCCATTACATAGATTTGGAGCTGTGGCACAGAGGTGCAGCGTCACACTTGGCGTGGCGGGGAATTGAGCACAGCTTTCCTAAATCCCAGGTTGTCACCCTAACTACTGTCACTGCATACTCTTTACATCAAAACAAATGGTTCAGCCAGAGGCCCTGCACTGCCTTTCCTTCTGTCTCCGCTGATTTCCAAGCTCCTTGGCAAATCTACTAGTGTTACACCAACAGGGCAGAGCTGGTCAGTGGGAGACGTGCCCTGTTTAGTGCAATGCCTCATGGCTGATCCTATACCTTAGGATCCACTGGCAAAGAGTAAGCTGTTCCCAGAGATAATCTTTCAACCTAAAAGTCTGGGATGCTACACCTTACAGGAGTACAAATGGGCTCTCAGAAGTGATAAAAGCAAGCACAGTTTGGACTCTGTGAGCAGAAAGGGCTCATAGTTCAGATGTTAAATTCAAAAATGGCCAATCTCATTTTGCTTTGAATTTGAACGTGTGCTGTCCTCTTGGAACAAGGAGAAACTCCAAAGTGACTGTCCTGATACTGCTAAGCACAGAGGACAGTGGGAATATCCCAGAGGTGCTCACCCATCTTCAAGATGAGCTCTGAAGCTGAAGACCTTTGTTCTGTGAATTCCGGACTGTTTTCCTTTGTGCCATTTCAATAGCATCCCAACCAAGAGACACATGCTGCATTTCTCCTGTTGAATCACCACTCTCAATCATGGTGCAGTTGTTTTACAAGAGTTTCCATACATTTTTGCTCCATCTTAAATTTCTTCAAGACCCTCTGCTTTGAGCCGTTCTGAGCTTGTTTATTTACTGACATCATTGAGGTCTAAACCTGATGTGGGTCCCCCATCAGGATGTCAACACAGCCATACCCAGCCACTTTCAGAAAACAGATCAAGCATGGAAGCACTGCCTTACATGCTGCTATACAAATAGCTTTTTCTCTCCTTGTGGACAATAGAAACATTTCACTAACTCATGCTACAACGCATCCTCTCTTCACGCTAGCTCTGCCAGGACAGATTCATCTCATCATCCATGGAAATTGAAGTATTATTCCAGTTACTTGCTCCTAATTGCAAACCCTTTTTTCTCCTAGGTTTTCTCTCTTCCGTGACCTTTGCTAATAAGCCACACTTCAATTTGAGGTTATTGAGCCCTTGGAGAAAATTAAGATGGTCTACCCTTCTTATTTCTTAAAGCTAAATCTCCACATCCTCATCAACTTCACTGGAAGTTCTGCCTTGTAGAACTGGAGAGAAAAGGAGCAAAATGACAACATTTTGCAGAGCCAATGAGCAAAGGAAGATGCAGTAGAAAAAAACGGGTTCCTGTATTTATGTCTTCTGACTTCAGCCAGAATAGGGTTGCCTGATTTAAAGCATGTGCTTTAAATGTCATTTAGACCATTGGTGAGCACAACACGTGCCTCGGCCAGCTCTGACAACTACCACTGGACCTTTACCTCCACTGACCAGTGACAAGAGGGCTGTGAGAGCCAGGAAGGAGGGAGAGAGACCACAAGCAGGAGCACAGAAGCTTCAAATGGGCAGAAATCACAATGGGGAGTCCTACACACTCTATGACCAATAAGGCCTATAGAGTAACAATGCCTCTGTCAACTGTACGTAGCAGACTGGATCAGTTTGTGTACATCACTCTTGCTGGAGTACAGGTTATGCCACCTAATGAGGGGCATGGGATTTGTGAATGTACTGCAGGAAATCCCATGCTAAGTGGGACAGCTGGTATCTCAGTATGGGAGAGATTGGAGCCAACATGCTGCTTACCCACCTGGAAGTGTCCCCATTGCCTTTTATAACTTTTGTGGCACATTTGCCCGTAACATGAATCCTTTCTAGTCTCTGAAAGAGAAAGACTGCATTTTGTTCTACTAAAAAAAAAAAAATTCCTGAACTTTTTGCATTGTTTTCATTGCACATCTTGACCTCCTTGTATCTCATATTTCCTCTCACTGTGATATTAAAAAGGCTTTATTTTTCTGCTGTGATGCCTTTGCCTTTAGGAAACCACAATGGCCAACTTTTCCTGTATTGTCTTAATGAAAGTGCTTTGGCCAGAAATCAGCATATGATGATAGAGGATGCCACGAGAGCAGAATTACAATGGTAGCCAGCTCCCAGCCTTTCCACCACTGTGGGGGTAAAGTCCTCTGTGACAGTAGCGACATTAATCATTAGGAAATAAAAGGGTGAACTAGACTTTAATGAACACGCACAGCCTGAATCTCTGCAAAACTGAAATAACACACTCAGGCCTCATGATTAATTATGGGCATACTTGGAGACTTCTCACCCTCTGATATAAGAGGAAACTAATACTAAAATATCCCAGAAAGAGAGCAGTAAGAATATCACGTCACTTCATTAAATACAGATATTGATTCCCTTACTTGACCACAACACAAACCTGAGCCTTTTTCCAGCATGGATATATGTACATACATGATAACTGTTAATGATAATGCAATTCATCATACAAGCTCTGGAGAAGCTTCACAGGTTTGTAGAGGTGAGCTTCTTGGAAAGCTTATGTGGAACTCACCTCAATAGCCTCTGCAATTCCCAGTTTTCTGTGAACTGACAGAACATGGTGCTCTGCCTTGCCACCAGCCCTTCTGTGGATGAGCAGGGCTTGGAACAGCTGACCAAATGCCAGATAGCCCTCTACACCTCAAAGATGAGCAGAATCTCCTAATTGGAACCACCTGCTTTCATGCCTGCTCCATTCCCAGTCTTTCATTTTAAAGTAGTGCAGCTCATTTCTATCGTAGTGGCAGAAGGACTTAGGACAGAAAAAAAGAAGCGTCACTGAAACCTTTGTGTTTGGAACACGTTGATTTGACAGTGACCAGGGACTGAAGAGCCATCTGTAAACATGTCAGGAGAGGAAGAAAATCATGAAGCAGAGCAGCAGGCTGCCCTTAATGAGACCAGTCTTGGGGCTCTGCTTCACATCGCACTGAATTGCGGCAATCGAAGACAGATGCTGGTGGAATCATTCTGCTGCCTCTATATAGAAAAACACTTAGAAGTATAACAGCAACATGAGTTTAATATTGGCATATTTATACTGAAGAGCACAAGTGTGAGAGTTCTTCAGCATGAGCTTGTAAGTCATTTTTAAGAGAGGTTGAAACATTATGCCCCCTCACTGCTGCATGTTCTGGATGTGCAGCAGTCTGAGGACAAGCTGCTTTAAAGTGCTATTAAATGAATATTTCCAATCTATTTGCTTTCCCCCCTTGCTGGTGCAGAAAGCTCTATCAAAACAATTGGATTCATGACTTTATCTTCAGAGAGCAAGCCAAACTTCAACACATTACCAAATAAAACTTAAATCTTTGAGGGCTGAAAACAAGAGTGAAGAAGAGTGTTTAACTTCCTACATTTCTAGAGTCATAGAGGCTTTAAAGTTGCAAAAGACCACAAAGATCCCCAGTCCAACCATCAACCCACCCTCACCACTTCACTGAGAGCACTGAAGAGCCCCAGACTCGCAGCCTAAGCAAAAAGGTGCCACTTTAGTCACGGCATGACTATGGCATACCTGGAAACACAGAATTAAAGTGCTAAAAGACATAAGATCCAGCCCTACAAACCATAACCCACCTTAAGCTTCATGTCTTCTCACACCACTCCCCTCGCTCTTCTTTCCTTTTAAAGCCTCGTGTTTAAGCAGGCACAGCTTTGCCCTATCAGATCTCACCTGGGAGTATTTCCCTGAGCTGCCCTTGAACTTTAGCAAGAAAGTAATCCCTGAATTTTCAGGCTTTGCCTGCTCAGCACGTTGTCTAAAAGCACTGTGTGTTGTATGGAGGAGCCTGGTGGGCAGATAGGGCGCTGCAAGGGTTGGATGGCTGCTACAGAGTGTCTTGCTGCATGAAAGAGAAATTTAGCTTCATCTGCTCCATTACTGAGCTAGGCACTTAAGTGTGGGGGAATTTGTGGGGTTTGCCTTCCCTGGATGTGTTTTAGCCTTTAAAATGTCAGAATAAAAAAATTAAAATTATAAACTGTATAAATTGTTTGTGTCAGCTGAAGTGTGCAGCTCTAATCTGTGTTCTTATTTGAGCTCTAATTTTATGCCTGCTGGTATTCAGTTATACAGAACTTCAGCAAACATTTATATCTTTCTTAATTATCCCTTTTCCTTGCTAATTTCTCTTACATTCAATAAATGATCCTTACCCCTATTGGTTTAACTTTTTACAAAGTTGTTTTCTCTTGCTTTTCCATAAGCCAAATATTTTAATTTCTTACACTATGCCTCATTTGATAGTAACAATGATGTATTTTCCCTTTCCCCACGTATTTATTTTTACTGAGAGATGCAGCCGTTCATCACATTCAATGAAGAATTATTAGTTAGCTATCATTATTATTGCTAGTGATGGTATGTAAACAACTATAATGATGTGTGGGCTTGTGTAGGAGCAAAGACCACAATAAAGATGTTGCCTTAGGAGGAATGAATGAGGGAAACATGCAAAGATTTAACCACTGTACCCTCACTGCTGGTTTTGTGTCCTTTAGCAGTTCTGTGGCCCCTTTCCTTTGGTCCTGTTCTCCCACTTGATTGGACTGGGTTGGACTGGGAGTCACTGGTCACTCCAGAGTTCTCTACAAAATGTGGGCAGACACCACTGTTACAAGAAGGGCATATGCCAAGACACTGGTAATCCTGAATGATGTGGGAAAAGAGGTTTTGCCTAATATTGTAATGAGAGAGACAGAACCAAATGGGAAAAAAAAAAAAAAAAAAAAAAAAAAAACAGCTCTTTTGCAGAGCCATAAAGAAAATCTAGATTACTAAAGAAAGTTCAGTCTCTTTTTTCTGTGCTGCCGGCAGTTTACTGCCCTAAAATGAAGGCAGTTGGCTTTAGGAGGATCAGCCTTGAAGACAGTAAAATTTCAATGCTGCACATTAGCTGGGCTTCCCTTCTCACGAGCAGGAGTGTGAGCAGAAGAGGCATCAGTGTGTTCATGCCTTGTCCCACACCTTCTGGCTGCTGGTGGCTTGGTACCAGCCTGACCTGATCAGGCTCTCCAGGGAAGGGATACCTGTAAATACTGGACAAGCAAGAGTTTTTTCTGCAATACTTGTTCCTCAGAAAAGTGCAACCATAGCTCTAATCTTCCCAAGACCACTGCAAAAGGATCCTGGTTTGTAAAGTCCAGCTCCAGGACCACACCTGCAGTTCCCCAGAGCTGCTTTTCCACCTCCAGATCCAGATTGGCTGCTGCTGGAGCCTTGTTACCTTTTTCTGTAGACTGCAGTAATTTTCAGCAATGAGCATGGGGAGCAACCCAATGGCAGGGAAATCCACTTAGGATCTCCAAAGAACTTACTGAGTGGTTTTTACAAACAGCTGACAAGAGCAGAGAAATCTTGAAACGTATTTTACAAATTCAACAACTTGCTCTAAAATAAATATTTTAGCTTTTCTTCCTCCAAACAGAGGATTGAGTCTGAAAGAAAGATGTGGAAATGAAAAAATCATCTGTGTTGGGAATATGACAGACAGCACTGAGCAAACACTCAAGATTTAATGTACACCAGAGCCCACAAAGCTTTCATGTTTATTACAGCTATGTTGTACTTTGCTGTATTTTGGAAGAGCTTCCCTAGATTAAAACACCATTCAGATCTTCTCATGCTTTTGTTCCCATTTGCCTCTAACCAGCTAGAATTAAGCATATAAAATAGTGTGTGTTCTGTGCCACCAAGACTTTGGCTCCCAATGACTTTCAGAGGATGGAAGTGAAAGCAATAGTCCTTCCCTGCTGGTCCCAGGCAGCCAAAGACCAGTGTGAGAACAGCAGTGTTCAAGAGATTTGCCATCAAAGTGTCATGCTGTACCTGGGGCACACAGAGGCTTCCCCATTGCAGAGGGCAAAGAAAGGAGGTGCCACTATCCTACCAAAGAACCAGCCAGAAATCTTGAATGTAGACAGTTTGACATTGTGGGGCTTGGCAGAGAAAAGATCCCAACATTTGTCCTGGGTTGGAGCTGTGTGTGTCACTTAATATTCCCCACACTCCTCTGTTGTAGCACTGCTGCTTTTTCGAAGGGTTGGTTCATGTTTTTGTTTTTTAGCTCTCTATCCCTTCCTCTTAAAAAGACCTTTCTCGGTTTGTTTGTTTGCTTGTTCCCTTCCACGAGATCCTTCAGCAAAATCACAGTCAGTTGAAAACAAGGCATCTGCATTTCTGAGCCCTCGCTGCGTTCCTGTGTGATTTATGAAAACAGAAGAGCCTATTTCAGGCGTAATCCAATCTGCTCTCTCTCAGCATCATAAGCACATTTGGAGCCAGATAAGACAATTATCACATGGATCTTTAATATGTGCAATTTATAGCTAAAAGGCTTATTCTGATAACTACGTTTTCAAGTGCCATCCATGTGCTAAAGCACAGCGATGAGGACTCTGCAGCAGTGAGACAGCAGAACAGTCCCTGTGGCATTTCATAGAGTCGTAGAATCATTAAGGCTGGAAAGACTACTGGGGTCCAACCGTTGATCTGTCACCACTATGCCCACTAAGCCGTGTCTGTCAGTGCCTCATCTACACGTTTCTTGAATGACATATCCATACCTCCTTGCTGCATGGCAGATCTGGGCAGAGAGGAGATACCCAGAGCAGCCATGCTTGGGCAGCGATCGCATTTCTTCTTGGGAGAAAGGCTTGGGGCAGACAGAGGTCTTCTTGGCACATGGTAGCATGTGGCTGCCCCATGAGATGACATGGAAGACATCCAAAGCTTTCATCAGTTTTGACATGCAGAACTGTTTTTCAAAGTACCCAGAAAGAGGAGGCTGCTACTGAAACATCTTTTCACGCATACCCAATTCCCAGTTCCCAGATTTAACTTGCATACGTAACCTTCAGCCTCCTGAAAAGCAGGAGCCCATCGTCCAGCAGCAACACTTGAGGTATCAAGCCATCAGGCAGTCAGTATTTTCAAGAGAGCTCAATAGAATTACTGGCAAGTAAATATTTTCTTTTTAGCACTAAGTGTGGATATCACAATATATAGTTTCTCATTAGAAAAAGAATCAGTTTTCTAATTGAATTACTAGCTATTTATCATTGTTTATGACTCAGAGTGTAGAACTGAAATATTCTAATTATTTCACAATGGGAAATGAAGATAAGAGTTTATGATTTTATCGTGTGGAATAGACTGTGACAATGTCTATTTGCAACAGATAAGATCTGATAAAGAATCATCTTGTTTCACTCATGCAAATGGAACCAACAGTTAACTACACCAGGCAGCCAGGGATATATTGAGGGAGTTAAAAGCAGTCACTTTTCAGTCCAATTTAATACACAAACTTTGAGCATTATGAATCTTTATAATGCTTATAATTTTTTAAAAGAAGTTGCCACAACAGTGCCAGAGCCACACTCATCCTCATAGCTATGCATCTAGGGCATTACCCTACTTTCTTATCAATCCAAATAGAAGAATATTTTGTAGGACTTAAGAGTTAAGACTCTTTGATGTTTATGTGCTTCTTTGGCAAATTTTGCTAGGAAGATCTTATATCTTATGCTATTTTAGCTATCTCTGATATATCCAAGCCATCAGAATATTGCAGCTCAGGTCTATGCTGCATTTCTTTAGGGACTTCATTAGTGGAAGATACCCTGACTCAGTATACAAGGTACTTTTGATGCATCATTCATACAGAAGATAATCAACTCTACATCACAGGGTGGGGAGCGGGGGATGCTTTGTGTAGCAATTTATAACTGTAACCCAAACAGTGCCCTAAAACTGAAAGATACTATTTGCATATGTATAACATTAAAGATTTTCAAGCAATAAAAGCTTTGTATCAGCTCACGGCCACATATCTGCAGCTTTTCCTCTGCAGATAATTTGACCTGCAAATTACCCAGGATGTCTCAGTACAAATGTTCTGATCTGAATCTGAATGCAGATAACCAGAGTTGGGGTGAGGGCAGGAAAACGGAGGGGAACGAGCAGTGAGACGAGGTGATTCTAAGGAGAGAGGAACAAGTTGGATTGGGAATAACTGAGGAGTACGTTGCAATGCTGGGAGGATGCTCCACCTCCACGATGTTGCTTCTCTTCCCAGGAACTACAGCGGATCAGAAGCAAAGCAGATAAATCCCTTTTGTTAGTCTGCTCATTCCAAAGGGAACTGCACACATTTAGCAAGAAAGAAAAGTCTCAATGAGTAAATGATGAAATGGGAATTTTACCTTTTCTGGAAGATGGCATTTGACCCTAAGACAGGCAGAGATTATCCATTCTCTATGCTTCTTATTTATACCTTGGGGAGCTGACAGCCCTTCTAAAAGCAGACTGAGGATTTTTAGACAGTTTGAGGTTTAAAATTAGGCACTGGAACTAACAGGCTGTTATTGTCTCATAATTATATTTGACACGATGCTCTCAGCTCTTCTCTGAAACATCAGACAGAGTCAGGATGCCAAGACATTGTGCTGTGCAGCAGCAGACATCAACCATGCAATGACACATCTCCCTCTGGACACCATGCAGAGGGTGAAAGAGCCACCTGGCAAGGCCATTCCTTTTGATGCAGAAAGTGGAGTGGACGTTGCTTCCATTCCTTGCCACAGCCCTGCAAACACATTTCCATCGCAGAAGTGAGTCGGTCAGGTATCAGCCTCCTGCCA